CCAGATTTATACAATGGAATAACCTTTGCTATTTTCATATTATTGGGGAACTGACCAAGTCGAAACGACATGTTAAAAACATGGGTTAATGGTTTGCATATCCCCTCGATTGCCCATTTAACCATTGTCATACTGATACCATCACTATCACTAGATGATTTATTTCCACATTTGTTCACTATATCTATAATTTCCTTTTCAACAATTGGTTTCAGAAACATAGAACACATATTCCTTTCAATCAGATCAGATATGGGCTTTGGGTCAGAAGTCCAATGAACCCTCTTCTAGAAATATTTTGTTGTTGAAATTTATTTAGAAATCAATTCTAGGAACTACTGCCTTGACTGATGGCCTCACTCCCATTTTCTTGCAAAGCTTGACTTAAATCACAAGGTTTGCCACAACACAGAGGCTCATGATCTACACGGAGCTCATTCTGATTTACAACCTTTCTCACATGCTCTGTGGTCACGTTTTGTTTTTATAGTAACCTCTGCAGTAAGTTGATAGGCCTGATGTCAATGGGAAACTCCCCATGGTAGCGAAGGAATTAAATGAAGCAGCCATACTAAGGCAAATTCTTTTCAAGGCCAGCATTCATTACTTTGCAAGTTACAATATTTGAGAGTATGCTTTTGTTCAGCCACTGTAATCTGAGACATTGTGCCTTATCGAGTGTTGCCACAGTAACTTCCACAGTAGCATCTCTTTGCTTAAGAATGTCTTTGAAAGATTGAGGCCATCAGTAGCTTTCAGAAATACTGTGTATATAACCAGTTCCTTGAAGAACAAATGACATTTCCTTTAGCTTGAGCTGTACTTTGTTTCAAGACCTGCTGTTTAGCAGGTTAGTCCTGCTAAACAGCATGTTATCAGCGTGAACATGTTAGCAGCTGTCTGGCATGCATGGTGTTTCTCAAATTCATGTTCCATGCTAATTGTATACAATTTGTATACATGTTATACAGACAGGAAATTATTCAATATATGTGAAGTCAGATGCCAATCAAACTGCGACTGACTGCCACTGCTAATAAAACAGAAAAATGTTTATTTTAAGATGGTATTTTATTTATTATTGTTTTGCATCCCAAGATTTTTCTAGAGAGATTTTACTACATAATTACAACCTCTTCTGAATTAGCATGTAGTGTGGATTTGACACAGACCATAAGCACCATAAATATAACTCCATTCTCCTCCTCTGTATATTGGGGTGGATGCAGAGAACTCACAGACATATCTCAAAAGCTGGAACAATAAATTCAAAAGGTATTTGAATGGGGGGAAACTTAGCCTTCAAGGTTAAAGATAACATTATATGTGCAGGTTTCACAGGAGATTCAGACATATCTAGAAATTCTTACCAGGTCAAAGTTGTTCCTGGAGCCCATTCATCTTTCAAATATTCTTTTTCCTCCTTCACCTTCAGGTCAAAGTTTACCCACTGGCGCAGTACGATCATGGAGCCGATGATGTTCTGGTGCTGGGAACTGACGGTCTGTGGGATGTTCTCTCCAACCAGGAAGTAGCAGAAGCGGTCACCTGTTTCCTGACAAACTGCGACCCCGATGACCAGCACAGGTACGTTCCTTCATCACACAACTGCAGCCGTTAGCCAGGGCTGAACTTCCTGTCACCCCTGTTTTTATGTGGAGAGGATGAACATTGTTATCTTGTTGTAATTATGCAAATTTCTAAAGATTTAGATAAGCCATTTCTCTGATGTCAAGGAAAAGCTTGTGAGACTATTAACTGGATGATCTGACTCTTCTCCTCTGAGTCTAGTTTCAAAAATTCACTCAAACATTTTCAGATTAATTTTTTTTATCTGCTACTTAACACCTTAATTATTTACAATCACACTTTTGTCATGTCAGGTACACTATGGCAGCTCAAGACCTTGTGATGAGAGCACGAGGGGTGCTGAAGGATCGAGGCTGGAGGATATCCAATGACAGACTGGGCTCCGGAGACGACATCTCGGTCTACATCATTCCTCTCATGTACGGCAACAAGCAGAATTAGCCAAGCAATGAAACAGCAACCACCACTGAAATATAATATAGCCTTGACCTCCCAACTTCTTTTCTGCAGTTCCCCTCATTCCCTGTCCTCTTTTTAACGTGCTTTAACGTGGACTGCCTCGATTGCTGAGGGACTGAAGATGGTTCTGCTCAGATATGGGTTTTCTGTCTAGGCTGTTTATCCCTTGATCATCTGGGAATGATCTTATTCCTTCTCTTTGTCTGGTTCTTTTTATAAAAAAAAAATACTACTCAAAAAACTGAATTATGAAAAGCCAAACTCCTGACTTTTCTTCCTGTAGTTTTGGAATTCTGTATTTCACCGAGGAAGTCATCATGGACCTCATGGAGGAATGCGAAGGCTGAGACACTCTTGTGGATGAGCTGGTAATACGCATCTCAGGATTGCTGTTTCTAACTATTGCACAATATATTTATAAATGTGAAAATGTAAATATTCCAAGGTGTAACACATTTGACAAATGTGTTTTGTTGACCACTTGTATAGTGTAAAAAAAAAAAAACTTGAAGACTGATGTCCTGTGCATATGAATCATACCTCCTCTGCAGGCTTTTAATATAGCCAGGTCCAGTCGTCCGCAATTGTTAGTCTGTTGTCAAAAGGAAAAAACAAAAACAAAAAAACCCCAACTTGGAAGCCTTTCCTAGATCATACATCGTCAGCTGATTCTCCTAATGGTGCAGTTGATATTTCTGTTCATGTATATGCCTTGTGATGCCATACAGTTGTCATTAGGAAAACTGCTTTCTTTTAAAATGAAGAAGCATTTATGAATAATATACTAACAGGAAGAGTCACCTTCATGACTCTGGTGTCAGCTAAATGTGATCCTGCTCACAGTATGTCATCATACTAGCCAATTAATTAAACATTACATTGTTTTGTTGCTTTCATTCATCATGTTTTTCTGTTTAAGACTCATTTCCACTTTGTGTTTGCTACTGTACACGGTGCGCCTGCATCACCAGCTGCTACAGTATATGTGGTATTATTTAGTTACCTTCTCATTTTTTGCTTCTGTACCTGCACAATATTTTTTGCTTCAGATAAGCACTTCACGTTACCTTCTCTCAGTGTTACTTGGATATACTGCCCCTGTTAAGATACTCATCCTTATGGGTGCAGGTGCCTAAACAGTGAGAATTGAGGAGGCAGACAATTAAATATACCAGTTACTTTACAATCATTATTGTTCCTAGATCCATTGGTTTTCCACGTTTTCGTTTTAGTTCTATTAGTGCATAAATATAATAACTGCTGTACAAGTGACTGAAGCTGGTGAAACATGGAAGAGAGCAACTTAAATGTAAATAAAATGTTCCTTTTCTTTTAGTGTAAGTGATATACATCTAGCTGAAACAAAACCCATGTACTTTGTACTCTTTTGGAAATCTAGCAACAGTGTAAAATGGTTTAAATTCTCAGTTTTCTGCTCTATTAAAGACTTGACCATTTCTGACCTTTTAATGTTTTTTCCTTTGCTGTGCTACTGATAAAAAAAATGTTGGTGCACTAACTGTGCAGAAGACAGGAAAACAAGACAGATGATCCTCTGGGATGCACTTGCATGAAAACTACAACCATTCCATGCAAGTAAACAAAGAAATTGGGGAAAATGATAAAGATTACTTAGATTCAATGTCCTCCCATGGCCCAACATGTCAGGTATGCATGCCAAGTTTTCATGGATAACATTTCTACTGACCAAGTCATGATTGACATGCAGTGTCAAACTACTGCTTAGATATAATTAAATTCTGTATATCCAGATATGACTGCCAAATGAACTGTAATTAGTTAAAAAATAAGAACTTCCTTACACCGCAGTAGCTGTATAGAATAGGTCCATCACCAGTCTGACAAATTGTTACAACTCCTGTTGTGGCCCAAAGCAAAATGTGGATGAAAGGTATCAGTTCACAGAATAGCTGATGGTGGAGGCTGCTGTGAGGAGTGTAATTCAACACTGAAGCACACACACACCCTGAAGTGATGACAGACGAGTTGATAATGTGAGGCTGGAAAAAAGTGCATGAGATGTTTGTGCCCATTCCAACTGGTCTTTCACTTAGGCACATTGAGAGAGTGGGTGTGAATAATGAGGACTTTTAAATGCACTAGTTCAGTCCTACTGATGGAATGCGACGCCAAATACTTGAAAGAAAAAAAGATGTAAATCAAATACGAGTTGGTTTTCACATGACAAAGGCATCATATAGAAAGGATGCATTCCAGAGTCTCATGTTGCGAGCAGTGAAAGGAAACCTGATGATTTTTAAACATTACAACTTTTCACTTCTCTTTGGTGCAGTAGAGGGTTTTCCATTCTTTTCTGAAGTTAGTATCAATGAGCTTATTTTGGGTGCACCCGCTAATAGCCAACATTTCATTTACAGTTTACTCAAAATTACACCATAGATTCATCCCAAATGCTATTTGATGGGTGGAACAGTTTCAAACATAATTTGGACCAACTAATATTAGACAGGTGTAACAGAGTGCCACACTCAAGATAGGCTGCTTTAAATCACATTGTTGCAACCATATCAACAGAGGCTGGCAATGACATGCCAAACCACTAGCTGATACGTTCAATCCTGTGTCCTCTGTGCAAACATATAGCAGGTTAAAACTCACAGAGCATATATTCTAATTGTCAGAGAAAGAAAAGCACAGATCATACTAATTCATGATAGAAAACGACTGCTTGGCTGCAACTATAGAAGGAGCCAGCCTTTAAACTCGGTGACCGGGGGCTGCAACAAATCAGCTCCTGGAAAACCTATACATTCGTTCAGTCATCATCCAATCAAAACAGCCCACCTGCAACCCATTTCACACAGCCATACACAAGTAAAGGGGGAGAGAAAGCGAGAGATCCACACACACACACACAGAGGCCAAAACAGCAACTTGCATTATACAAAACTAAATCCAGGCTGTTGTCAGTCACAACAATGAGCCAGCATAGACAATACCAAGACCCTGAGATAGAGGTAGCTAAATGGAATTCAGTGGCTGTATTATTTACCCCTGTGCTTTTTCTACTGTGATATGTTAAAATGTCCTATATAGAGAAAAACAAGATGAATGTTGCAAAACAATCCTCTGGGTTACACTTGCATAAAAATGGTGACATTTTTGTGGGAATAACCAAAGGAACAGAGGAAATAAAGATTACTTTTGTGTCCTCCCAAGGCCCAACAACAGAAATGTAAGCATGTGAAGTTTTCATGAATCACATTTCTTTTCCATTCAAAGCATTTTGTAACTCTTATCTTGAAATTTACACATTACAGTATATAGAACAGGACAACTGAAGCAGTAATAAGAATTTTACAAACTTACTTGTGCTGCAGATTTTGGGAGATCAAGTTTCAAGCAGTCCACATCTGACTGAGTCAGCTTGATCAGACTACTTGCACCTGAGACCAATTATGACGCACTGCTGTGCAGTACAGCTTAGTATGTGCAGATCATTTTGACTTAATTTACCTTTATACTTTGAGTTCTTCTTAAATGTAAAGTATGTAAGTAACCAACACAGGGCACATACAGTGTGATGGGGTCATGTTTACACAAATGTCTTTTCACCCCACACGTGGAGATTAGGGTATAAGAGTAACACACATATACATGAGTACATGATTAAGAGAATCACAAAGTGCTGTCGTGGGAGTCTCTCACTCCTGGGTCCCCCTGCAGGAGCTGGAGGGCCATCTGGTCCTCACAGGCCAGCATCACATCCTTCTCCAGTCAGGCCAGCACTGATTTGGCACTGCACTCCTACTCTCCACACGTGTGTGGTCCAGATTGGATGACGGCAATGATGACACAGTCATTCCTGTGGGTGGCTTGTTTTTCCAAGGTCACAGCCCCCCCCTTATAAATCTGAAGGAGATGCTGAGTTGGCTTGAAGCAAGATACTGATCTCTTGTCCAGGAAAGGTGACGCACATTATCAGTGCAGTGCAACACAGGCCAGCTGAGGCCAGGGTCTTCAAGCCTCCTTTCTGAGGAGGGTTAAATCAAAATATACTTTGCTAACATGGGTTTTCTCCATCACTTTGTCCATCACTGTAAAGTCCATCTCTTAAAACTTTTAAAAGGCCCATCAGTCCAAAAACAGGTCTGATTAACTGATTAACTCTTTGTTTCAGCTTAACTATAAACAGTCAAAAAAGTCAAAGATAATCAAACTTAATATAAGCAGTTTTTTATTTAGAAAAAAATAAAGTTAATAAAACAGATTGCTTGTTTAAGTCACTTCTCATACAAAAATGTCAACAACTGATGATTTCAGGTCCTTACACATGAGACTGTGTTGCTTGTCTTGGCCTTACGTTAAGAGTTTTGGATTGCTCTCCCTGTACTCTAGGAAACTGATGGATAGGCATGTTTGGATTGTTTTATGTTTTAAATACCACACTATTGAGTAAATGATTGGCAGATGAATCAAGAAGTGTTTTTGTAATCCTATTATAATCACATGTATAAACCAAAGGAAACCAGCAATCACACTTGAGAAGCTGAACCAACAGATGTTTGGGATTTTGCCTGATGAGTTATTAAAAATATGACTGATGATGACGCCAACTTGTTACATTACAGAAGCAGCGTGTGTACAGGTAGTGGACACACTACAAACATGAATGAGGAGTGTCCTATCAGGACAAAGAAGGGGCTGCTTCAGTGCAGCGCTGATACCCAGGAGAACAGGCAGATTTTCTAGTGGGGGCTCTAATTTACTGCTTTAGGGCTTTGGCTGCCTGTAGTATGATGTACTATCTGCAGCCTGGCTCAAATGAAAACTTCGACACAAGATGGATGAGGCCAGGGGTGCCTCTGTGCCGCTCACTGGTCCATAGACTGGCTGTCTTTACAGTCAGCATATGATAAATGATGTTTAGTTTTACCCTATAGGCAGACCGACTTGTATTTCCTACATGAAACAGACATTTGAATATATTTAATGTAGACCTACAGACAACTACTTAACAGGCTTGACAATAACTACTGCTTTGAGCACATTGGCTACAAAACTCTGTGGTTTGTTTACTATCAGCCTCTTCTGCAAAAGAAAAGAGCTCCCTCCTTTCAACCTATGTGCATCTCTATGAGTGGCCGGAGTAAAATTTATTGTGTAATATCAGCACAGATGCTAGTGGGAAGAACTGAGGCTCAGGATGAACATAACTCAGCTTAACACACTATCAAGAATGAATCATAAATATTTCAGGAAGTCTCCTTAGAAGGTCAAAAGCAATCTTCAGCCAGTCAGTCAGTGAGTGAGCAGCATGCTCTCTTCTGGGCTACGGGGGTCTTACCTCAATATGGCGGTCCCTACAGTTTCACCGACCCTGCCAATCAAAGCTCATTATTGATTCCAGTCCCAACCCCCACCACAAGACCCCTGACTGCTCATACTAATGTGGAATAGAGCAGCCACATGCTGTTGGGCAGCAGAATCAGGAAGGATTTCAAAGGTCAACTCCCATGACCCCCGTCAGCACTTTGCTCCCAGACCTCAGTGGGGACACTAGTAGTGAAAAACCTGTGGGGGTTAGATCAAGATGTGCGTCTACCTGTGCACATCAGAGTTCAAATACTTGGAATATTTAGCATATTATATCGATTATTATGTGAGCAGTGGGACACAGAGTCAGGGCTGTGCTCTGCTCTGCACAGAAGAGGTGTTGAGCTGCAGGAAGGGCACACACTCCCTGCTCCAGTGTCTGGTGGTATGCTGCGTTATCAATAAAGGACATCCGGGGAGAGCCACAAAGGCAGCGTGTGCGCGTCACAGCAGATGTATAGTAGGATACCTCTGTGGGCAGCAGGAGCCACGTCACTCCTCTCCTCATAGCAACAGCACTGTTGACCTACATGCTTTCTGCACAGCTCACTCCGCCGGAGGTGGTGCAAAACTATGCTAATCCATACGAGATATCGACTTCCTCGTGCATTTTAAAATATGCACACCAAATTATTCAGATTTTAATATATTTCCATGTCACACATGCATCCATCCTGAAAAAAAAACCATTAGGGCAATTGAAACCAAATGCAACGAGTCTAAATCTCAGGCTGTGTAAAATGAAAATTGCATACAACAAAGTGCTTTTCCCCACAGTCATTCACCATTTTATTGCATAAATGACACCGTTACAGTTCTCAATCGGCTTCAGCTTAAAATGCAACCACACGCTATTTTCTATTCAAAAGCAGTATTACTGCTCCAACGTAGCTGTATCACTGGCGCTGCGCATTACCTGGAAAAACCGTAAAACACCTTTGGAAGCGGAGCTTTTTCCTCGGCTGAAGTGGAGGCACCAGCACTAGCAAGGCAGTAGCTTGCGCAGTCATCTCCATAGCGGGCAGAGTCACAACCCAACCAACAGCACAAACTACTACCTCAGCCAGTACGTGGCCAAAAACGCACAGGACCTAAATGTCGACATACACGAAGCCACGAAAAAACAGCTGCAGAAATGCGCTGGCTGGAGTTCGGTGCGGCGACGTCCTCATGATGCCGGAGCTGGAGTCGCTCCTCTTCTGTGGAGACTTGAAATAAGAGGAGCACCCCGCCCAAGCAGACACGCTCCCTCCGCCCTCCTCCCTCCCTCCTGTTCTTGTGTGAAACCCACCAAACAGCCCTTTCCCCTCCTATGACCTGTAGTGATGGGAAGTTCGGATCATTTTACTGATTCGGTTCTTTGAATGTCGTTCAGCAAAATGCAATCTTTTCGAGTCATTTCGTTCACTTTAGCAGAATGTAATTAAAATGTTATTTAAAAGCCCAGTTTGTATCCCATTCTGGGATAGTTATTCCCTTCGCTATCACACTTTATAAATAAAAACAAACAAACAACAATTCAAGAGTCAATCTCTATTATTAAATAACTGCATATAAATAAAAAAAACCCACTGATTTATGCATGAATTTATACATTTCTATTTTCTACACTGCAGGGTTAGCTGATGTTTATATTTGTTAACACAAAGAATAAATAAATAAAGGTAAGTACGTAAGTAAGTAAGAAAGAAAAAGATTTTCCCTGATGAAGTTTAAAGCATTAACCAACTCTTTATTAAAACATTCAGTGTTATGGAAAAGAACCATATTGACAGATATTCACAGAATTATAGTCTGTAGGAAATAAAAAAAACTATTTTATAATAAAAATAAATACATCACGTAACAGTAAGAGTAAAAAAACTCTTAAGGACGGTTGACAATTCGCTAATTTCTGTATCCAACAAAGTGGTAATGTGACGTTTCAAAAACGAACGATCTTTAAAGGATTAGTTCACCTTCGAGTCATTCGTTTTTGTTACGTGACATGACCGTTTTGTCAATACTGAGCTTATATGCGATGTTGCGCATGCGCAGTCAACACAAAATAGAATAGAAGCTGAACGTGTGCGGGTTTGTTTCCAGGTATTACCGCTTATCACCCGAACACGGCTTTACACGCATCAGCAAATTCAACGTTTGGCGACGACTTTGTGTATAAATTAGTACAAATATTTGGAAGAGGCTGGTTAAAGCCTGGAAAGGCTGTGCAGACTCCACCCTATCTATCTGTCGGTGTAAACTAGTAGTACACGTACATGTAACATTAATGTATGTCATACTGTATTATTGGATTAGCCTGTAAGTACTGATGTATTATTGTGTTCATCATTTTCATTTTGCAGCTGGTAAAGGTGGATCTAATGTTATAGTGATGGGTAGCTTGGGAATTTATTGGAAGCTTATGTGATAGGTTTCCTGAACACTTTGTCTGCAAGGAGCAGATTTGTAACAGTTGTTTCCTGGTTTCATGTAAAATTCATGGAATTATACCTCTGCTTGAAGTGGCTTTCTCTCCTTACAGGAAAACCATACAACATCCAACATGACTGCCATAAGCAGCTCAAACACAGCTTTTGCCCTGGAGCTGTTCCGCACCCCGAGCCAAGGAAACCCCACCGGGAACATCTTTGTGTCTCCACTGAGCATCAGCTCGGCCCTGGTGATGGTTTACCTGGGAGCTAAAGGAGCCACTGCAGCTCAGATGGCACAGGTCAGCGCACTGATAACCTCTGTATTGTTAAATAGTTATTCTGGCCTGCTCCTGTAAATCATCTTGTGAGTTATTTAGTTTAGTCTGCCAGCCCTGTGTGTATCTAGGCACGTAATGAAAGGTGCGTCTTGGGTGAGTCACTGACTAAATCTAACGACTCCTGTACTCTGACGTCAATAAACGCCCCAAGAACAAGGTGTGAATTGTTTGCTAAAGCAGAAGAGTGTAAAAACACATGTATGACTTCAGTGTTGGATAAAGTTGAGTTCCAGTGTTAAAAAACATGAACGAGTCAAACACAAACTGTTGCTGCAAACTGGAAGCACATTATTGTTTGAAACGTCCCTGTATTCTGTAGCACTGTGAGCTCCCTTCACTGAAACAGAAGACTGGAACTAAAACTGTACACAGTATCACAAATAGCCTGCAGACAACTGACAGCAACTTTAAGGCTACTAAGAAACAATGTTACTGCTGCTATTCGTCCAATAAGTTTTAAATTTCTAGAACAAGTTGCACACAGTCGAGGTCAGTATAGCATCTTCATCATCTGCTACACTGTGCAGAGTTTGTTAAATGTTGTGTGTTGCTCCAAAATTGCACACAGGCTCTATCATTCAGCCCAGGTGAAGGTGTCCACGCAGACTTCCAGGCACTAAACGCTGACATCAACTCACCATCTGCATCATACATCCTGAAACTAGCTAATCGTCTTTATGGAGAAAAAACTGTCCCGTTCCTACCAGTGAGTTTTCAGCTTCCACTTAGCACAGATACTTTAACCGAACCAACAGCTCTGATAAGATGGTGTCTGGTCTTTGCAGACGTTCCATGAAGCCGCTCAGAAGTACTACCAGGCAGACCTGAAGGTTGTTGATTTCATTGGGGCTCCAGAAGAGTGCAGAGTGGAGATCAACAGCTGGGTTGAGCAGCAGACAGAAAGTTAGAATTTAGAGCTTAAAATGAACTCTAAAATTCCCCCTTCATGTTGTACAGCAGTAAATGTCCTCTGTGAAACGGCATTCAGTGGCTGCCTTCTGCTTTTTTTCAGGTAAGATTAAAGATCTTCTGGAGTCAGGAACAGTCGATACATTGACGAGACTGGCTCTGGTCAATGCCATCTACTTCAAAGGAAACTGGCTGAACCGCTTTGAGGAAAGAAACGCTCAAGATGCCCTTCAACATTAACCAGGTGAAAACTAAGCTCACATTTGGATATAGAAAACAGAGTTGGACTCCAGCAGATGTTGAACTAATCTGTAGCTGTCTGTGCTTCCCATGCATCAGAATGAGACCAAGCCAGTCCAGATGATGTGCCAGATGAAGGAGCTGCCCTACACCTACATCCCTGAGCACGATCTGCAGATCCTGGAGCTACCGTACGTGGACGAGGAGCTTAGCATGTTCATCCTGCTGCCTAAGCTGTCTGCAGATGGCTCTGACCCTCTGCTCAAGGTACACAGCCTATACACAACTACCTCCAAAACAAAGGCAGCTTTTCTGGGTTGCTTTGGTTCATTTCTTAAAGCTTCTACAATAATTTTATATTAACAAGCTCATACAACAAGCTAGTGGTTAAGGCGCAGCGCTCTCACCGCTGCGGCCCGGGTTCGAGTCAGGGTTGCATCAGGAAGGGCATCCGGTATAAAACACATGCCAAATGTCAACATGCGAGTCGTCAGTGTGACGATTCGCTGTGGAGACCCCTAAACGGGAAAAGCCAAAAGTGACTTTCTTATATGCTACCTGTCTAACACCAAACAGCAGACAGACAAAGCTCGAGACAGGCTGGTGAAGACAGACGAACGTCATGCTGCTGAGGAGCCAGATAGTTTATTCAGGACTTGGTAAATCCATGTGAATAATGGATTTACATTCATTAGGTGGACAGTAATAACACACCATGAATGCTGGTGTTGCTCAGCATCTGTTGGATATGTAAACTGTTAGTGAGCAAATTAGTTACTGTATAACCTTATAAAGCAAGAATATGTTAAAGGTGTGTGTTGGTCAGTTTCTGGCTAGAAAGTGAATTAATGTTACTTAAAGCAAATTAGGCTCGAAAGGAATGTAACAGATGTTGTATTTACATTACTGAGCATACAGAACAATACCATTAGCACGTTTAACCCATTTTCAACATTTAAAAAATTCTTGTTGATGCTGACCAGATTTTAATAAAAACATGAGCTAGAGATGCAACAAAAAGTATTTGTTCGGTTCCAGCTGGAGAAGGCGCAAACACAGGAGAAGCTGAGCGAATGGACCAAGAGGGAAAACATGGATGTCCACATAGATATTGTCCTTTACCTGCCAAAGTTCATGCTGGAGGAAGACTACGATCTGACTGATCCCCTGTCTAAACTGGGCATGACAGACGTGTTCTCCGAAGCGAAGGCCGACCTGTCTGGCATGAAGGGTAAAAGAGGCCTCTTCCTGTCTACGGTAGCCCACAAGGCCTTTGTGGAGGTGAACGAGGAGGGCACGGAAGCAGCTGCAGCCACAGCCACAGCCACAGGAGACATGATGGTGTGTGGTATACCGATACACTTCAAAGCAGACCACCCCTTCATGTTCTTCATCAAGCACAATAAGAGCAACTCCATCCTCTTCCTCGGCAGGCTCTCATCTCCTTAGGAGACAGGACCAGCAGAGGAAGATGTTGGACCACTTCAAATAAAAAAAATATGCAACATGTTCTAAAAGGCTTTATTTTTTGTTTTGCTTATTAAAGGCCTGTATTTGCGTCTGCTTTTGCGCTGTCAATTTGCCATTACTAATAAAGTGACTTCTGAAAGTAAACTTCCCTATATTTTAGCTATGTGAGTAAAAATCTGATGGTGATTTTAAAAAACAATGAGCTGGAATATGTCTTTTGCATCCCTGCAGTTTTCATAAGGAATGTTTTCTCAGTATACAGGAGTGTCAGTGAAAAGAATTCACACTGAAGTCTGGATTGTCCACAAAGCAGAACGTTTTCTTGAAAAACAAGTTGCTGCTGAGGTTTTTAAATCAATTATGTAATCTTGTGTGAAATCAGTAAAGCATGACACAACATTCCATTCATCTCCAACCCTCTGCAGATAAAACTATACTGGCTGAGAGTCAAGCTAGGCTACTACTTGGTTTGCATTAGGTTGAATTTGACAAGAACTAAGCTTAAGCCTTTAAAGTAAAATGCAGAGCTGCAGTACTTTGTGTTAATTTTAATTAACAGAATCAACTCTCACTTTTTCAAAAATTAAGCAAACAGATAAAGCCTTAGGTCGAAAATGGCTGACTATGTTACTGCTTTGATGATAAATTTACCAGACTTATTTATTGTAATGTATGTAATTCAGAGTTTGTTGCAGTTATTTGTTTAATGCTGTTGAAAAATAAGCTGTGAAAAACAAATTTTAAATGTGGGAGTCAAGTAACCAACTGTGTATTGTTTGTATAAAATACTGATAGCATTCTAGGTTAACAAATGAAAAGTAAGCAGCAGGAAATGACAAACAGCTGCAAACTAAGCATAAACCCATGTGGTTCTGTAAATTTATACATTTAGATATATTTTTATTTCCATCCACTTTCAGCATAGTTGAAACGCTTCTGGTTAATTTGAGCCATGAAAACAGCACAGCTCTTCGTTACTAAAGCTTTATTTTGAAGGTTACGACCGGAACTTAACACCACTTCCAAATGCAGGCCTCAGGGACCTCGATGGGGCACTGAAACGCAGGGGAAGGGTCTGTGCAGCACGGAGGTGTTAACCAATTATGTAATCTTGTGTGAAAGCATGGATCACAACGGGTGTCTGAAGTTTTCCTGTTGCAACTAGCACCCCACCTACTGTACAGTATTCACACCTCATACTAGTAAAAGCTAGAGATTAAACTACAAAACCACAGTTTCTGTGTTCAGAATCATCTCTGTAAAAATCCCGTCAACTTTAACCTTGCTAAAATATTATCATCTGGGAATTAAACAAAAAGTTATACTTTAGCAATACCTGCACCTTAATACTGATACACTGTATTAAAATAAATGAACAGATATAGGCCACATTCCAATAACAAAATGATCATATTCAAAACACTGGCTGCAACTAATTAACCTTTTTATTTATAGAATGCTTTCACGATTAAAGTGCTTATTTTGTTAATAAAATGTCACGCAACTGAGATAATAGAGAAAAACGCTTGGTATCATTTCCTACAGCCAAAGATATCTTTGTCTCGTTTTGTCTGAACAAGTGTCCAAAGCTCAAATATATTCAGTTTACTATCACATATGACAAAGAGCAAAAAACTCCACATTTGGCTTTTTAGACTGGATGATTATTTGATAATTCATAAGGGCTCTAACTCATTTTTTTAAGCCCAACCAACAGAGACGAAATATTAAAAATTTTGAGATACTGCAAAGGAAAAAAATCGATTGATAAAAATGGGTTGGATATGTTTATAGTTAAGAAAATAATGTATATTATTGTTCAGCCCTTTACCTTTATTTATAACCAGTCATTCAAAACTGGCATCTTTCCAAGTGAAATGAAAATAGCCAAAGTTCTCCCGTTACAACGGTGGTGACAAGCATTTGTTTTCTAATTATTGACCCATTTCTTTGCGTTCACAATTTTCCAAAATATTAGAAAAGTTATTTGTAGTGTTGCACGATATACCGGTACTAGTATGGTACCGCGGTACTGAGGCATTTAAAATGGTACT